TGGGTATACCAAACACAGCTAGCATCATGTATGGTACCCCGTCTGCCAGACTCACCAATCTCATCAGGTCTCGCATGATCTCTGCCCTTGCCTGGTCCCCTACAAAGTGGTTACCCTGGTTGACTGGTATTGCTTCCCCCAGCATGTACAGCAGACGCACTGCTAACTCTGCTTCCGTGAATTTCACTGACTTCCAGTGGCTATCCATAAACCAATTTGGTGTTAATAATGCAAGTAAAATAATTTCATACAATGGTTGATGTTTAATTTTGCTAGATCATAACATATCATAACATATCATATCATATCATATCATATCATATCATATCATATCATATCATATCATATCATATCATATCATATCATATCATATCATATCATATCATATCATATCATATCATATCATATCATATCATATCATATCATATCATATCATATCATATCATAACATAAGAAAAATTTAAGTCTAAGAATGTGAAGATCCATTTACACTTTTAATGTCCCCATAGCTTTGCAAAAAAAAGGAGAAACACGCGTACCTAACATTCTTGGTGGCATTTTCCTTTGTTTTTTTTGAAGAAAGTCTAAAAAAGTAATCATTTTTCTCAAAGCGGTGGACACCATTTTACCTTCAACACTGTTAATGGTTTCCTTGGGTATTCCTCTTCATCTTGCTACGGGTAATCGCCAACCCCAAGATGCCTCTAAAAATGCCCCTCAAAATAACTTCCAGAGAAGGGGGAAAACCCAGTGTGTACCTGGCTTGGTCTCTGCTCAAGGTTCCAGAAACCTGCATCACGTGGACCCAAGTTGTTCTGGGTTCCACGCGTGGTACGTGAAACAGACTGGCCCAGACTTACCTGAGTGTGTTACTGATGAAGGAGTGGACCAGCTGTAACACCAGGGCCTGGTTGAGCTGCGCCAGGTTGTCAAAGAGGATCTTCATCTGTCGCCGGTAATCGATGAACATAATCTCGTCCTCCCCCTGGCTGTCAAAGTTGTAGCTCTCCTCATACTTGAACTTGCGGATGACCACGTACAGCATGCTCTCCATGTATCTCATCTGCTCTGGGCTGGGCTTGGAGATCTATCAACCAATCAGATCCCAGGATTGACAAGGGGCAGAATTGTTTTTTTTAATAAACTGGTTCAAATATGATTCATACTTCTGGTATTTCCAGCACTAGTCCCACAAAGCTTTTCATATATCTGGCATGCTGGGTCTAAAGTCCCAGGGTTGCTTTGCAGAAACCACTGCTTGGCTCATGGACTCGGGCTGGTAAATGGCAACAAGCAATACAGGTCTAATATTTTGCCCGGTAACCTGCAGCAGATGCTATCCTTGTTTTGCACATTGCTGTCTTAAGGAGCTCTGGGGGAAGTTGGGCCCCATATCCTGCCCTCCTACCTACAGAGGTATCCTGACGACCCAGCCATCAAGTTCTGCTTGCCTCTCCCCATGTTTAAAAGGTTACCTACAAGCTCTACAATTTTACAACGAAGTTCAAAATGATACATTCAAATACTTCATTTTACAAGAAAAAATCTGTCAACGAATGTCTAAAACTGCATCTAATTTTGAACAAAAAATCTGCCTTTATGGTGTCCCGAAATATACAAGACCCGAACAAAATAAAATTGGGCCTGAACCCCATGCTAAGGCTCCGCCCACTCCCTAGGCCAAATTCAATGTTTTTAGCCACTGCCATCATTTTTAAATTTTGTCACTTGGAACACCGCATTAAGAGTCCAGGATTTCTAGCTTGCAGAAATGAAGATTTTTATCCCTCACATTCATAAATCTTCCAATTGCAATACGGTATTTTCAGTTATTAAATTTAGAATTTTCAATTTAATGTTCAACAGATAAGCTGAAGAACTGATCCTTTTCAATTTGAATACCAAGCAATGTCTGGATGGAAATGCAAAATGGTCTTGAAATCTAGAGAGAAATAACAAAAGGTTATTGTCAGTGACTATGCATCTGCTTTCACACTGTTCTGCAAGTTTTCTGCAGTAGTGGTTCCAATCTCCAATCAGGAAATTGAAAGTTTCCCGGAAGGACTCTCAGGCCTCGGTTGACTGACCTGTTTGAGAACCCCGATGTAGTCGTGAGCAAATCCCGTCACCGCCAGCGAGATGTCGTCATCTTCGTGACCCAGAAACTCAAAGAGAAGTGGCAGTTTGCTCTCGATGGCTTGTAAGGTCTTGGCAGTGAGGGCGCTGTCTCGCGTCTTAGTAAGTCTGGATCCAAATAAAACAGAACAGGTTTGCTGGTTAAGAATAACAGGATAATACCATGGAATGTGAAATTTTACAACCCATTTTTGCCACTTGTAACACGACGATTGCAGTGAACTTATTGACAGTGGTGATCTGAATCAAATGATGAAGATATTGAAGACAGAAGAAACAAGTTTAATACCTGAGTAGGGCTGTGTCCAATATCTGAATATTCGACTGATTGTTGATATTTGAATAATATTTTTTGAATTTGTATATTCAAACGCAAAATTCCTGAAAAGGGAAGGAAAATTTTCTTTTGTTTTAAATGAGAAAAATTGCACTATGGAGGCTTGTTTCAAGCAGT